CCGCCAAACTTTGGTAAAGCTGTTGCTTTCAGCTTTATCCCTGCCACTGGAGCTAAACGGCGACCTGGGGGTTCCTCAGTATCTGATTTTATGCTTGCTGCTTTAATGAAGGCAGCCTTCCGCGACACCAGCTGGGGAAGGTTCACCTCCAGCGCTCTTAGGCGGCCATCAGCATCTCCTCGTTCGGCTGGCGGAGCCCAGCGATTCCAGTTCTTATGCGCTTCCTTTGCCTTAAGCACCAACTTCTCTAAGTGAGTCAGCATGAACTCATAAGCCTCCAGAGTTATATCTAGTGGGGTGGAGGAGACATTCTTACACTCCCCCTCTGCAACTAGTAGAGCTAAGGACAGTTCTCTTTCTCCATATACAGCCCAGACTGTCTCTCGAATTAGGAGTTTAACTTCTTCCGTCTTTTGCTTACAATATTCCTCCGTCCTTTCTATGTCGGCTCTCAGTAAGGCGCCCAGCTCCTCTGCAGTAACTGCTTTGGACTCTTCCATGTAGGCAACCTCTACCTCATCATTTGCCTCCATAACTCTGGAGCTCTCTAGTGTAAGCTTTTTGAAGTTCTCCTTTAACTCCTCTATAGACATCTCTGTATGGGTTCGTGAAATGCTATTAGCAAGACGGGAGAAAAGTCTCTTAGCTGTGGTCCTCTCCACCTTCAATTCATCCAGTGACTTTGCCATTTGTTCTCTTCAATTGACAGACAGCAGCTTTATCATTCAGGCCCCCGGGTGGAGTCAACCTCTCCCTCTTGGTTGTGGCCGCAAGTGGAATCGTCGCTGGTCACTGGTCACGGCGGTTTTTCACTGTCAAGTGTACTTCAAACATCATGGCTTCCCACACTTGACAAGAGAAGGAATCAACCAGACTCAGGATTTCACTCGTTCTTCAATTTATTTGACCAGTAACAAGGAAGGTGAAAAACCTTTAAACATACAAAAAATAACAAATTAAATAAAGTTCAATATTTCCCAACAAATACAATAAAGCACATCAAAATACAACAAGCAAAGGATAAGCTGGATTAACAGATCAATTTCTTCAAGTTTATCACCCCAGGTAAACAGTGTAAATCAGCCATTACATTCCAGAAAGCCAGCTCTGCTGGGGCCCATTTCTTTTTAAATGAACCTTTACCCCAGATCATCCATACAGAAGTTATATATGACATTCCATAATCACAAACCTACAAGGAAAACATTTTGTATCAAAGCAGCTTCACAGTGATAACATGAAAGTAGCACAACACAGATCAACAACATTGCTAAACACTAAATAACCCCAACTGAGCAAGCTCAAAGCAAGCCAAAAGCAAGGCGACAGTGGCAAGGAACCAAACTCCATCAGATTGGATGGAGAAAAAACCTTGGGAGAACCCAGGCTCAGTCGGGGGCCAGTTCTCCTCTGGCTTACATTCATATTGTTTAAATATAAATATTAAATATAAATATTGTTTATGAATCAAACGGCGCCATAACATATCGCAGGCGTTGAGTCGTCTCTTCACAGGCGTTGAGTCGTCTCATCACAGGCGTTGGGGCATCCGAAATCCCCGTGAGAGGCTGGACACAAAACTGGACCTGACGAACGCCATTTTTCTCGGGACAAGCGTCCCGAGATAACAGCAGAAAGGCAGATGGGAAATAATTAGCATAGCTGATGTTCATAATGATTTCCGTTATAACTCACAAACTCTCCGTAACCTGAACTCTCCGCAACCCAACCATACGCGCCGACCCGTTTGTCTAAAAGGCTGTCGAGCCCCACTGGTGCGTTAAGCAGTTTCAGTGGCAAACGGTTCTGTATGGCATAACAGAGGACTAGAAGGTAAGCATTATGTGAATGCTTGACTAAAGAGAAGCGTCTTTAATCTAGTTTTAAACTGTGTCAGCGAGTCAGAGGCTCGGACCGTATCGGGAAGGCCATTCCAGAGTTTTGGAGCTAAATGCGAGAACGCCCTCCCTCCTTTACTGGACTTCGATATCCTAGGAATGACCAGAAGCCTTGAATTTAGTGATCTTAAGGAACGCGGTGGATTGTAGGGCGAAAGAAGGTCCGTTAAGTACATAGGTGCTAAACCATTTAGGGCTTTATAGGTCAGTAGTAGTATTTTGTAGTTGATGCGGAACTTAATAGGTAACCAGTGTAGAGATGATAAAATCGGTGTTATATGATCATATTTTCTTGACCTAGTAAGAACTCTAGCAGCTGCATTTTGTACTAACTGTAGCTTGTTTATTGAGGATGCAGGACAACCGGCTAATAAAGCATTACAGTAATCTAGTCTTGAGGTCATGAATGCATGAACTAATTTTTCTGCATCAGAAACAGATAGCATGTTACGTAGCTTAGCAATGTTTCTAAGGTGGAAAAAGGCTGTTCTTGTAACATATGAAATATGATCTTCGAAAGACAAGTTGCGGTCTAGTATAACACCCAGGTCTTTTACTGTAGTGGATAAAGTAACAGGACATCCGTCTATATTAAAGTTGTA